GTGGGTCAGTGGAGAGTGTCTGTGTCCTTACAGCTGCAACGTCAGTGGTTCAGGTCTGGCTTGGACATCTTCATTTTTACATTTAGGGGTGAGGGAGGGAGGGTGAGGGTGAGGGGGGGTCAGGATCAGCTGACGTCTGTGTGAATTAGTGAATCAATATTTTTATATGAAAATATGAAAGTTTGGTCACAACCTTTTTAGGTTTAGGAGGAGATTAAAAAAAGTTTTTTTTTGGTTTTTTTAGAAATTCAAAGTCGAGGTAGAAACATGACGTTAATTATGAAAAAAAAAAGTTTGTATTTGCTGTGGTGAAAAACAGGTTTATTTTGATTCAAACGTGTTTTTTTCTTGATCAAACCCTGAGGTCAAGTTCCTGCTCCGACCGTTCAGGTTCAGGTTCAGTCCCGTCTCCTCAGCAAACATTTGAATAAATCTGTGGAGGAGACGAAAGGAGCAGAGGGAGGACGTAGAGAGGAGGTGGAAGAAGAACGGGGGACGCCGCAGATGAAAGCTGACAAAGAGACAGAGAGAGAGAGAGAGTGGACGAGGGAGAGAGGGAAGTTGGGGTGAGGATGGAGGAGGGAAGGGAATAAATCAAGGCTGCGGTGAGTGCAGGACAAAGAGGGGTGGGAGGTGAGGGACAGTGTGGACAATGAGGAGGATAATGGGGAGGACGGGTGAGGCTGCAGCACATGTCAACGTCAGGGTGTGGAGCCAGCGGCTGTGGCTAACTCGTTAGCCTCTGCTGTCACGGCTCTAATCACAACTTTTTTTTTTTTTTTTTTTTTTTTTTACTGTCATTAAAACACAATTTTCTCCCTGAATCCTCAGAATCAGTCAGGTTTGATCGGCTAGCGATGCCTGAATGGATGTAGCTGCTGCTGCTGGGCTGCAGGATTTGTTGAAGCCGCGTGTGTGTGGGAGGTGTGTGTGTGTGTGTGTGTGTGATCTTTTGTTGTGCCTGTCCTGTGAGGAGGTGAAAGGCTGAGGGAGCAGAGATCAGCTCTAATTGAAGGAGAGGAAAAGTCGGCAGCAGGACTGAGGCCAAATTAGGAACAACAGGGTTATTTATTGTCAGATTGTCAGACGCACAAATATATACAGTCATCTGCTGCTGCTGCTGCTGCTGCTGCTGCTGCTGCTGCTGCTGCTGCTGCTGCTGCTGATGTCCGAGTGTGTGTCGCAGCCTGTGACAGTGTCACAGTCTGACTGAACAGGATAATTTAGGATTCAGTCTGTGCCTGTGTTAATGCTGCCAGCCCTGTGTGTGTGTGTGTGTGTGTGTGTGTGTACCAAACTTTGTGTGGTCAGATGGCATTGTTTAAAACACCATCATCATCATCATCATCATCATCATCACCATCATCATCATCATCATCGCCACGCGCTCCACCTCAGGAGCAGCTTTGTTCACACTGATAAGAATTCAAATCGGTGCCGGTGCCTGTGGTACCGTTAATGTCTGACGACAGAACAGTTCTGCCACTGGAACCTCTCCAGGTGGAGCTGGACTCAGTCCCGTCAGTCACCAGGTGGGGGCGTGGCTACGGCGTTCACGCTCACATTCACACCTGAAAAAAAAAACTGCAGGTTTTTGTACGGATTCAAACCCCGGGCGTCAAACCACTGACCTTTTTGCTGTAAGGCAGTGAAACTAACCGCTGTGGCCAGAGGAGTGATAGCCTCCTGTAGGTGTTTGTAGGTGTGACACGGTGGTGGAGTGGTTAGTGCTCGTGCCTGACCTGGTGAAGGTCACCAGTTCGATCCCTGCTGGTCAGTGCTGCGTGAGTTCTGGTTGTGAACGTCTGGTAAAGTGAAACACAACAAACCTGAAATAAAAATAGAATAAAAAGTCAAATCTTAAAATAACAATAATAATAATTTTCCAACATAATTTCACCGTTTCCTAAAATATCAACTTTTTCTGGGAAAGAAAATCTGGTTTTTACTTCACTGTTGTTTTTACAGACACTGTGTGTGTGTGTGTGTGTGTGTGTGTGAAGACCATGTGCCTGACCTTTGACATCCACACGCCACACAGCACACACACACACATAAAAACCCACGCGCCGTCTGTCACGGGCCCCTGACAG